ATCTAAGTCACAGAAGGACTGCCCAGGATCTTTCCTCTTCTAGCTCACAGTGTTGGTATGGTGCAATTGATCTTAGCACAGCTTTGTGCTGAGAAAGCTGAGCAAAGAAGGCATAAGGACATGGCATGTTAGGCTGTGCAATTAGTCCTGAAGCTCTTAGATATCCATTTTTTTGGTACCTGCTCTCTTTTGCCAGTATAGAAAAGTCATGCAGAATAGAAGTATAACGGAGCATAACTGTATTTTTTCATATTGTTTGTACTACTTTTAATAGGTGACAGCAATGGTAATGGGTTCCCTTCTGTAAGTACTGTGGATATACCTGTATACTACAGGCTCCTTACAAAGATGGTGCTTGTGCTTCAGCTTGATTAATGCATCCAGAAAACCATCAGCAGAGTCTTAATGTGAAAAGACATGTAAGAGTAGTGAGACATCTGCTTTATAGAAATAAATATTTTCTTGCTCATATTTGTTGTTTAAAACAAATACAAATTCTGACATTTATTTGGAATATATATTTTGCCTCTGAGGTAAGTTTCAGTAGACACATGATCTTTCATAAAATAGCACGTGGTGTAAACTGATTTTGCTGTGTGAAAGAGGAAACCATTGCTCTGTTAAGCTAGGCCTGGTAATACAGTTGGACTCTAAGATGCTTAAACCTAAGAGAAAGCTTTTTAATTGCTGCACTCAGCATGTAGATGGAAATACCGTGAGGAGGGTCACCATTATGTGTACGCTGAAATCATTGCCTCATAAAAATTTTCGTTTTAGACACAGGATTCAGAATAGACTTTAGGAAGTGAACTTCATGGATCTTTCTGTTTAATTACTCTGTGAGTTACTATTTAAGTTCATAATATGAAAAATCTACAATGATAATTCTAAGGCAGCAGAAGAACCTGGTGCTGCCTCTCAGACTGCAATTTTCTGGATTGCAAATTCCTGATCTTTACTGCGAAACTGGACTCCATCCTTCATACAGATCTTGGATGTTGACTGATTTATGTAGTTTTGAAACTCACTATTCTGTTGTTTTTTTTTTTTTTTCCATGATAGTGTTAGGATTTTAAAGTTGTTGTTCCATTGTAGGCCAAATTATTTACCTTTTTGGCCTTAGTATTTATAATTATTCACCTCATTCTTAGGTTACAAATTAGAGTTTAGATGTAAAAAGTGAAAAGCCAAGAAGAGGTCACATCTCTCTTTGAGGATCTGATGGAATTGCATTTCATAGAATCATAGAGTGGCCTGTCTTGCAGGGAACCTAAAGATCATCTAGTTTCACCCCACCGTGGCCATGGGCAGGGACACCTCCCACTAGAACAGGTTGCTTAAAGCCCCATCCAACCTGGCCTTGAACACTGCTCGGGGCTGGGCCATCCATAGGTTCTCTGGGCAACCTGTTCAGTGCCTCATCACACTCACAGTAAAGAATTTCATCATCATATCAGATTCAAATCTCCCCTCTGTCAGTCTGAAGTCATTGTCCCTTGTGCTATCACTATATGCCCTGGAAAAATGCTGCTCTTTCTTCATGCATTGATCTTATAACTCTGGTTTGCTGATAGAGTAATGTGTTTATACAGAAGAAGTTGGTTGTTCTTACAGTAACCAAATCTTTTCACTAAATAATTTGGGTTTAAAAATCTTTAAATTTTTTTTTGCTCTTATCCAAAGATGCTTGGACCACAGAAGTCTGGAAGTAGTAAATTAAATTGACATAAATCCAAAACAAAACACCAGAGAGAGAAATTTCACCCAGCTTTCTGTCTTGGGAAGGTCTACTTTCTTGTCTAAAAAAATTAATGTTCAACATTTTCTTATTTTTGAATAAACAGAGTTTTAGGCTAGGAAAATGAAAATAACATTACTCAATTATTTAAAGATATGTTAAGTTTAACAGAAAATTATACCAAATGCCTTTTGAGCTGGAGACCATTGATAAGCAAAACTTTTGTTTTTAAATTGATACATCAGTTACATCTGGGTTCTTAGAATTTCTGAAGCTGAAAAAAATTCACAGGTATAGTTAAAAAAATGAGCAGGTTTTGAGGATATTGTAGACCCAAATTCTATAGGTAAGTATGTTTTGGTAACAGCAATCTACTGAATATTTTAAAGTAAAAGCATAGGCATTTTGGAGGTGTTATTTAAGATCCAAGACTTGATTTGTTGGATTTAGTTTTCCAAGAAATGTGTTGGTATAGCCATGTGGGCAGAGACTGTAATAAGACTATTTTATTAGAAAATAAATAAATTTACCATAAAAATACTTTACAGTATTTTATTTAATAAGTATCACAGCATGGCAGTTTCTACAAATCTCTTTTGGAAGAAGAAAAGAGTAGGAAAATAACCTCAAGGCAAATGAAGAATAATACTGTTCATATATTGGTCCTATTGAAGTCAATAGCAGAACCTGCATGACATAGAGGAGCCGGTTTAATGTAGTCTGTGACTACATTAATGGAGTCAACTTAAATGGAGGTATGTTTCAAAGTACTCAGTATTTTTTTTTTTAAACAAGAAAATAAAAACTAATAATACAATAAGAAATTAATAATTAGTGGAATTTCTGTAATTCTTATGGCTTAAAAGTCAGCAGCAGGAGTTGGACTCGAGGATATTAAATGTCCTTTTAAAGTTAAATAATTCTATGAGCACTTAATAGGTGTAGACTTCCTAAAGTAGCAATAATGTGAATTTAAATTGTAATAGATTGAAGTTGTTGGTTCTTTTTTTAGTTACTAGTATAGTTCTAAAGCTTGTGTTTCACATGGAGCTCTTTTTTTTACAAGTAGCTGAGAAATCAGTAAGATGTGTGTGTCAAGCTGTAGGTGTATTTCTCTTTTGTAAAAAGAAAGAGTAAAGTTCAAGTAATAAAATCAATTCCAGAACCTGAGTATAAATACATTTCCTTTTTTTCCTGACACCATTTATATCTTCTAGATTTTATTGGATTTTTTTTCATTTTTATATAACTCAGGTTTTGTTCAAACAAACATGAAGTCCAGTTTTTTTTAAAGCATTCTTTTGATTACATGCCTTGTCTACTCCTCATTTTCTTGTTTTTCTTTTTTTTACTCTTGTGTGTTAATGAACTAATGGTTATAAATAGGCATTTTACTGATCATAGGTGGTAATGACATATGTTTGCAACTACATATGGCCTAAACTATGCAAAATTAGGAGTAGAATGTGTTTAAGGAACAGTCAGCAAAAGCATGGGCAACTTTTACTGTCTGAGAAATTTCTAACAGTTACTGTGTGAAGAGTTGTGGTTTTTCTAAAACAAATACCCAATATCTTTAATTTGTAATTTGTTGAAATATTGAGTTTATCTTAGGCTTTATGAAAAGCATATTCTGCATAAATAAAAAGGCTATACCCATTTGTCTGTTTCTGACAAATATTAAGCTTACTAAGGTGTATGCTTAATTGATTTGAATCAACTTTAGACAGCTTTGCTTCTTGATTGGCATGAATTTGGAGATTTTTTTACTTACTTTTTTTTTTTTACACTGCTTTATCTAATTTTTGTCAGTATACCTGACTTTTTTATGTAGGGAATGCACATTTGAGATCATAGTGCCACGTGATAATTGTACCAATTTTTATCTTCTCTTTTGAAATGAGTATTTGTCTTAAGAATATGCACAAACAGTTGCAAGCAAGTGATGTTGTCAGGATCTTGTTAATAAGGGATAAAATAAAACTTACAGTTAGTCTTAAGAACATGTCTTCTTGGTCAAGCTTGTTGATTGAAGACACTACTGCTTGCCAGCTGCTCATTGCTATCAGAACACCACTGGCAATAGAGTTTCGTGAGTTTCCCCTCATCAATGCAGTCCAAGGTCAGCTCAAGCCACTTGCATTGACTTTTAAACTAACCAGCCCTTTTAGTTATGCAATCAGTGGGGGAGGCTGTTTACATCATTCCTCCTCCAGTTACCTGGATGCATTGACCGTGTGGGAATCATAATGATATCATCTTTGTCTGGCACAGCTGTTAGAAGATGAATGTGTCCCCAGCCTTATAGCACTGAGAAGGTTTGACCTAAAGCATTTCACTTGTGATTGCCATAAGGTGACTCAACAGGCATATTGCTGCTGCTTACACTAGGAAAAGAAAGCTTTGCCCCGTGATTGTTACAGAGTGGGGTGTGATCACACCAGGTAATGAAAACTCGACTGACAAGAAGTCAGTTGTCAAGCCACGACTCATGCATACATGAGTCTGCTTCTGTATATCAGGGATATAACTAAGAGTGCTGCTACGAGTGAAATGTGTCCTCTCTGAACAGGTAAGTTGATCAGTGTGCAGCAGCCTTGTATTGTGCCAAGGAATTGCTGCGCATGGATTTATAGCTAGGAAAGGTCCTGGAATTCAATGATTTAACAAAATAAAGAACCAACCTTGAGTAACACTGTGACCTAGAATCTATTTTTTTCTCCAACTCTTCAGTTTAACCACAACATTTTGTTCTGTGTAAGGATGTAATGGCTATAAGTTGTAGATTTACAGTAAAATAGTGCTTTTCTGATGTAGTTCTTAACTAACAATATGTTTGGTTACAGAATAAGCAGTTAAGGTTTTTTTGTTAGTGATACTTACAACTTGAAGCTTCACCAGAAACAAGTCCAGAAGGTGCAATATTTTGTCAAGAAATTTAATAGGATATGACATACGAAATATCGTCTAATAAGTAGAATAAGTTATTGCAGAAGAAATGTTTGTATAAAACAACCATTGTTAAGAACGTAAATTTAGATTTAGAAAATATGGTGGTGGTGTAAAAATGTTTCCTTAATATTTTGAGGTCTGGTTTTGATTTTGGATTCATAAGTCATTTATGACAGCAGAATTATTTGCAGCTTTTACATGTTTCTGTAATATTGTTACTATGTTTCTCTAGGCAGTTTTATGTAAATGGTGTGTTACATATGTGATTTTTTTGTTACCACTGTAATATACCTGTACTGTCATTTCCTAGGTATTTCAACAGCCTTCTTTAAGGGAGCTATATTCCAGTGCAAGAATCTGAAATGGAGCTTTTGCACAAAAAATTGAAGAAAGTGGATCTTAACCTAGCAGAGCGTGATTTGTACACTACAGATACTCTGGAAAGCAACAATATAAGGACTTGAAGAACGAGGTAAAGTAGTTTTATTGTCTGGTGTATTTGTGTGTAAGTCAGGCTGGTGAAGCCAAACGTTTTTGCTCAAGGGTCCAGATAATAATTTTAATATCTGTTGACGCTGCTTATAATTCTGGAAGCTTGTTTGAATAGTTCCTGTGTTATCTGCCAAAGACTTGTTAAAATAGCTGTTGGGAGTAGAAGGTTTTACCTTATTAAATACTGAATAAGGGATTCTTAATTAAATGAACTATTTGCAGGATAAATTCTTTGTAGATTTGCTAAAATTAATATTTATTAGATATTTTGTGGTGTTTATTAGAATGACCATCTTTCACTGTAAGGAAAGTGAGAGAAATATAAATGGTTATTATTATGTTTTTTTAAATGGAAAATATTTTTTCCCAAATTCTTGACTTTTAGAATGGAATATAATATTTTTTTCTAGGAAGAATTACAGCAATGTCCTTTGAAGTTTATACTTGCAGCTTTGTATAGTGCTGAATTGCCTCTTTTGTGGAGTCTCACTGTTTAATTCAGGCATAAAATAATAATAACAACTATGAGCTGTAGTAAATGAGTGACATCTATAAATAATTCCATTATTTAAATTGATCTATTCATTTAGCTGAAATTATGATGATTTTCATTGTGTTCAGACTCTTCCTCATCTATTTGGATAGTCCTCAGACTAACTGTGATCATGTAGACTATGGGAAGCTGTTAACAAGGTTGCAAAGGTGAATGTGATTCTAAATGGCATAAATAATATACGATGGTGGATCATCATGTCCGCTTCCTGAGAAATCATCTAATTTATTCAAATATGGTATCTCATAACATTTTCTTTGAAAAATATATAGCTTGTTCATTCTTAATGATGTATACTGTATGTTAGTTTTGGGAAAAGACACACTTTAGAATATTTCTTCAGGAGCATGGGGTGGGCATTTCTGTGAAAATGTGCTTAAGAAAAAACAGGCAGTATAGAGTGCTACACAGGCAGTATAGAGTTAAGAAACAAAAGGTAAGAAACAGCCTGGCAAACATAAAGTTCAGGAAGGAGGAGAGAGAGGAGTTTCTTCATGTGCTGGAAACAGGTATAGCTCTGCAGGCCAGGGAGAGGATCACTGTGGAGCAGATGTCAATAATATAGCTATTGAAGGAGCCCAAGTGGATATTTGCTCTTGGAAGTCACAGCTTGTGGCGGGGAGTCGATTCTGGAACAAGTTCCTCTCTTACATGAGCTGTGGTCTGTGGAAGACCTGCTCTGAAATAGGTTTATCCTGAAGGACTCCAGCCTGTGAAGAGGCCCTGTGCTGGAGTAGGAGGAAAGTGTGAGGAGAAAGACTGGCCCAATGGGAGCTGTTAAGCATTGATTGTAAACCTTCTACCTGAATGGCTCAGCAGGTGGTAAAAGAGTCAGGAGTGATGGAATGAAGTTATGCCTGGGAAGCTGGGAGCTTCTTTTGGATAGGGAAGATGGTGTTGATTAAGTTTTTTTTTCTTTATTTCTTACAATGTAAATATATTCTAAGTGGCAATAACTTAAATATATTTTTTTTAAGTTGAGCCAGCCCATGATGCTGAGTGGTAAACCCACAAGCTTTATCATACTGTTTTCTCCTGTCCTAGTGGGGAAGGAAAGTGCGAGAGCAGTTGAGTGGGTGTTTGACCCTTTGCCAAGGCTAGCCCCCCACAATGTCTTTTTCTGTTTCCTCAGGGGAAAGTTAAATGAAACTGCTGTGTTCATCATGACCTGTGTCAAAATAAAGCTATTACACTGCCTTAAGTACAACTAAATACAAATTTTAAAGCCTATTGTAGAAAATTTCTTCCTGTTTTGATACATAGGTCTCAGTCATGCTCTTTGAATAGCCAAGGCTGTTTTGTCCACTTTTTCACAAGTACACACAAATCTCTATTAATAAACTTTCGAGAACTCAACTGATGAGCTCCTTTGTGTAGGCAGTGAAACTGTGGAAAAACTCCGGATTTTCTAAAACGGAGAAGGTAGTATTGCTATGGTAGTACTTTACCCTTTTTCCTTTACAATGAATATCTTCTCATTCCCTTGTTTTTCAGCCTTTTGCGACAAAATCATTACTGTCAGAAGTCATTAGCACATGATTTGACAGGAAGAATATGTGGGATATTCAATGTTTGTTTTAAAAAGATGATCCTTTTGACTTTACAAAGACTGTTGGGCTGCCCTTCATTCCCCCTTATGTACATTCCCAGGATATAAAGAACAAATAAGCATGGAATCACTTCTGATTAGAATGACAGTGCTTTGATGACTTATTGCTCCAAAAAAAGTTTTCAAAGGCTTTGAAAGAAGTAATTATTGGAAAGGTGTTGAAAAGAAGAGCCTCGTACAAACAGAAACTTGGCACTAGTGCAATAAATTGAGATGTATGGCCACATGACTGCATGCTTCCGGCTGTGTTTATATATGCAACAGCATAGATACATCTATAGCCTTGTGTTGGTCTTTGTGAATTGCAGAAATCCACATCCCTTGCCTACAGTTTTACTGAGTAATAGAAACAACTTACTCTTTGAGAGGTGTTTAAAAGCTTTGTTAAATGTTGTTGTGATGTCCTGTTTCATGATATTGTAAAGTGTGTATTTAGAGGCAATTGTAACAAGCATAGTTCTGTCTTCCTAGCTTCCTAGAGCTCTTTTTGGAGCTTAAACTTTATGTGGAATACATGATTTCTGTTAGTTGATTAAACTGACATTCATATGTCTACTGGCTAATTCAATAGGGTTTTTAGCAAAGCTTTCCCATGGTACAGTGCACGGGAGTTAGAATTGCCTTTTATTCATGTCCAATCTGTATCATTCTTCTAGGTCTGTAGTGTCAAGAGACTGAAAGATGTATTAACTTGCAGTACTAGTAAAGTTCCTGTTGAAACATAGCGAATCAAGAATTTACCATTTTTCTTTCTAAAAGCCCCCACCTCTATTTGGTCAGTCTTGGGTTCAGCCTCAACAATGTTTCTGTTTCTTCAATTGATAAAAACACTAAGATTCTTACCTACTGTCATCTGAGCTGTATCTTTTAGCCATTGATATCAAGCCTGTACAGAAAAAGTGCTCCTAAGACATTTCAAGAGGGGTTCTGACTTCCCTACTTTGGTTTGGGTTTAGGAGTTTTTCTGTTAGTGGGTTGTTTTTTTTTTTCTTTTTGTTTGTTTGGTTGGTTGTTATGGGGTTTTGTTTGTCTGTTTGTTTGTTTTATTTGGCTTGTTTTGACACTTTATTCAACACAAAACCTGTTGAATTCAAGAACATGGCTATTTGCAGTTTCGTCCCATGGGGTCTTTCATTGTGCAGACAGGTAATAGAAGGTTGTTTAGAAATAGGCATATTTTCTTTTTCTGCTTGTGTGCCTTCATTGTCAGTTAATGTGTGTCCCATCAACTTACCTGCTATTTCTTTATGCTAAATCTTCTGTCACAAAGTTTCATATCTATTATATATTAGAAACTGTTTATTTCTGGTTTTTCTGCTATTTGATTTAGTCTTTGGTAAAAATGTTTAAGGAAAATTAAATGAAAAATATTCTGATTTGGATCCCTTTACTGACTTGGATTAACAATCTTCATTGATAAAATTGGAGGGGCTTTTTTCTCCTAAACATGTAGAAAATTTTTGAAACATTATATTTTGAAACATTATATACATTTCTGTATATATTTAATAGACATATGTCAGAATTTTTCTGTAGAATTTGAGGACTGAATTAAAAATTTAATGTTTATATTTGATGGCAGCAAGAGCAATAAAGTTTGCACTTGTGAGAAGATTTTTACTGATGCCATCTTTCAAACTGAGTTTTTCAGCAGCCCCAGGCAATCCAGTTACAGGATATTTTATGACACAGTCTCCTTTGTCTTGATAGAACTCTTTACCTCCTTAGCAAAGATTGAGTTCAAACTACCTATGTGCAACTGTAAAGCCCAGATCCAGCACCCTTTCTCCACAGACCCCTAGTCTGATCACTAAAAAGGAAAAAGTAATAGAATGCTCTTTATACATATCACCAATCCCATCCATTGTCACAGGTAATCATTTCTGTATCCATAAATAGTTAAAAGTTTTCTCTTTTTTTTCACATACCATGGCTCTAGCACATTCCCAGGTAGCTAAATATAAACTCTGTATGTGTGTATAATACATATGTCTACACACACACACACACACACACAGATATATATATAAAATTATTATTTATATCAGATACTAATTGTATCTGATCAGCTGTGACTAGACTAGCAAGACAGTGTATTTTACCTTTTTCTGTATTTTTTTTCTCTTTTCTCTGTTCCTTCTCAGTTTTTCTCTGCCTATTAATTCTTAAGAGTCTGATGCTGGTTGACCCACTCCTTTTCCTTTGTTGCACTTCAGTTTGGCAGCAAGCAGAATGCTTTGACCTTTTATTTCTCATTTCAGAGAAACTGTATATATTCCAGATTTTCTCTATACAAGCATAAAATTTACCTAGAAAACAATTCTTAAAAATTAATGCATAGTATAGTCATTGACTGTGCATAATGATCAAAGAATGTAGAAGATAGGAGGGTTGTGTTTTGTTTGCCTTTATTTTTTAAAGCTCTTCATTTTAGTCACAAAATCTGGGACTTTGAAGATGATTATATTTTTTAGTATTTGGATTTTAAATGTCCTAAAACTCTTTCCAGATGTTAGTTCTGGTTTGGTTTTGGGGGTTTTTTGGGTTTTTTGGGGTTTTTTGGGGGGTTTTTTTGGGTTTTTGGGTTTTTTGGTTTTTTTTTTTTTTTTTGAGGGGGCATGTCGGTGTTTGGTTTGATTTATTCTTGGGGTTTTTCTTTAATTTGGTTTTTGGTTGTTTTGGTTTTTGGGTTGTGTTGTTTTTTAGTTTGGGGTTTTTTTTGTTTGTTTGTTTATTTTGTTTGAATTGGTTTTGGTTTTGGTTGAGGTTTTTTTGTGAGGGTGTAACACTTTTTCTAAAAAAATTTTGCTTGGTTGTTTGCTGGGCTTTCTTACGTCTCTTTCAGGTATGTGTCAGAAGCAGAAGAATCCTGAAATCAAATGACAAAACCACATTGTAAATTCATAATTATAAATATGAAATGCTACTGTTCTCTGATATTTCATGATAGATTTTTTTTTCTTTCCTTTTAGAAACCTGTACTATTTAAAATGAAAATGTGGTATATGACATCTTAAAAATATTTCATACTGGAAGGTAATGGTCAAGGAAAAAAATGTCAGTTGCTAATTAAGATATGCTTCAAGATTAAATTAATTTAATGGACTAGTGAAAATATTGACATCTACAGTATTGAAGAAGAATTCATCCCTAATTCGTTTTATTGTATATCAGTGTTTTCCCAGAGCAAGTGGCATAATGAATATGGCAACAAGAATAATCACAATTTACCTTAAGTTTCTGTTTGACTTTATGTGATGGCACAACAGTATTTTGCCTGATTGGCATTTAGTGTGCGTTAGTACTTCACTTTTCGTAACCAAAGTTATTCCAAAAATCTGAAAGTCTAATTTTATGAGGCCCCTTTCTTTCTCTGCCATAAGGACATATGACATAGAGTGAACAAGAAAGCTGCCCAGTTTAAGTGTTACTTTCACATACTCTTTCTCCAGATTGCTGTATGAAGCTGTACATAATATAAACACATATTCTTGTCTCTAGTTAGTCACATTATAGTTAATGACCATATGGTCATTATGGTATAAGATCTACTGTCTGTTGTATTTATATTCCTCAAGCATATTGTTCCTTCAACTTCACAGTGTGTTAAACTATTTCAAAGGGAAAAAAATCCTTTCCCTCTTGTTTCTGGTTGTCCTATCAAGTGTAACCTTGGACCCTTATAGAGCAATTAGACCAGCCTCTATCCCCTCCTTTGTAATGAGGTTTCTTGCATTTCTGAGTCTATAACCCTTTAGTCTTCCCTAATGGGACATCATTATTCTGAAAGAAACAATGTAAATGTAAATGAATATTCTCATTAACGAGTCACAGAGAAACCTTTAGTGGTAGCGCTGTGGTAATTCTGCTTGTTATTTCTCTAGTATTCCATGCAGATTTTTTTTTTTATAATTCATTATTAGTATTCAAAATTACTTCTTCTTTAATTCTGCATGTCTTTCATAATCCGGTGTTCCAACTAGTTCAACCATGTCCTTCTTTTATTCTCCAGGAACCACCTGTGAAACGTTCAAGGTCTCTGTCCCCAAAGAGCTCTTTTAGAGAGTCAGAGGAACTAAAATAGCTGAAAGGAAGATTGAAAACTTAGAGAAGACACTACAGCTAGAGGTGAACATTAAATAAAAATAAATAAAAAGCCTGCTAGCTATAAGCTTGCATACATAAAGACATACCAAAACAGACATTTTCAAAATTAAAAATACACATACTTTTATGGACTGTAAGTCTCTTCAAATGGAGAACTCTCCATTTGTTTTACAACAAATTTTTTTTCTTTTTGCTTTACAGTGTGAGTAATCTTACAGTCCTGTGGAAGCTTAATTGCTCTATCATCAATAACACATACTTGTTAAATACATTTTCAAAGTTTGTGTGTGAGTACATATATATATTCTGAGAAATGGATGTGTTCATATGAAGTAAATCAGAAAGAAGCACTGAACATACAAAGACTTCTTTTCTGTAAAATAAAGCCATACTTTAAAATGCTGAAGTAACTTAAAAAAGATTGACCCCTGGAAATTGTATAAGTTATGGCTCAGTTAGTTGCTGGTCTAAGAGTTACTGTTTAAAAAAATAATAACAATCCCCCTTCTTTTGAAAAGAGGAGTGAAGGAAAGCAGATGCAGAAGAGAACTCTCTCTGCATAACCTCATATAATAATTTGTACCATTCACCATACTGCCTTTACTTATCTTCTATTTAATCTTAAAGTATAATTTAAAAATCTGTACAGCTTTATGATATTACAGGCACTGGATCTCTATCACAGACATCCATGATGTCTTTAAAGGCTAAATCTCCCCTTGAAAGGGAACACATTAACTTCTTGCTTGTTCTCATGAAAATCTACTTGGCTTCTTTTGCAGAATGCTTTAATGGGTTGAAAAGAAGGTGTAGAGGCCCAGGTCATCATAATAAACACTGTTGTGGCACTACATTCATATTTCGATGAGGCTACTGCTGACATGACAGTGAACTAAGCTGTCATAAAGTTAATGTCAGAACATTTCTGTTGCTATTCTATGATTTCTTAATGTTAGCCTTCTCTCGGGCATTGTTTCTAGCAACAAAAAATGGATTTGACCCACATTTTCAAAACTAGTCCTTGCATTATTGCCTCTTTAAACCCAGTGTTGACTGTATGATTGCTTGAAATTTTCTTGCTCAGAGAAATGGTTTCTCTGTCAATACACACACTAATAATACGTCTGGAACATGAAATGGTGCTTTTATACATTAGTCCTTTTGAAAAATTGGTAACAATAATAATAAAAAAGGAACAGCTCTATTTTGGGGTTTTCAGGACCACTCAGTATTATAAACGAGCAGAAAATGTCAAGGTCCCATTCACAGGTTTTTCCAGTTCTCTCAGCTGACTCATTTCTCAGTAAGAAAAGTTGGCTCTTAGTATCTTCATTGCTAGTATAAAAGGGGTAATAATTTAAATTCAGAGTTTTACACAGCATTAGCTTTGTTTCTGGGCATCCTAAAAAGTAAAGAGCATGCCTGATTGCACCCTTGATTGTGGAAGAGAACATCAAAATAAGTAAGAGTATTTTTTTTTCTTTTAAAAAACAAATTATCAAGCTGCTACTTAGATTGGTCCAAAGCATAAGTACTTCAATCTACTGTGGGTCTTTAAGAAGTGGGTAAGAGTTTGCTTGTTGAGAAGTAGGTATTTGATACAAACTAAGAATACACTGATCTTCTCCTGTATTGCTTCTAGAGCTGTGATCAGTGGTGTAACCTAGAGGAGATAATCCTGGCTTTAACTGGAAAGGTCTCAAAACCAAGAGGAGCTCTTCTCTTTGAGTTTTCTCATCTGTTTTGGGTTCTAAAATTTTTGGAGGTAAATAAAACTAGAATATGCACAGCAGTCTTTAGAGCCACCTTAATACTTTTTTGTGTGAGCAAGACCACACTCACATTTACCTCATATTTCATATGTAGTCTATTCCATGTATAGTGTATACATGAAAACAGATGAATATTGCATCTTCCACATAACTATTTGTGGAAAAAACTGTTTTTGTGACTATTAGGGGCCTCAGTTCTTGTATGCCTAAGCACAGTCAAATAATTGATTCAGTTTAGTTTTCAAAATTTCCTTTTTACTGTAATAGAAGGTCAATTTCAATAAAAATTTGAATTAGTGATTAGAATCTTTTGACTTGTCTGAGCAGCCTGCCAAAATTAAAAAAAAAAAAGAAATAGGCAGTTGGGTTTTTCCTCCTGCAAATTGAACTTTGTGTTACTGTTGCATGGGAAGTACTATAGATGACAGGGGGCAGCTGGAGAATAATCTGGAGGTCTAGCACTGCTAGAGATGGTTATTCTGTCCCATGTCATGAATATATACAAAACTGTGTGTAAGACAGTTTAGTTATGAAATGTAACATAATTCAGACAGAGATGAATCTAACAGATTATGGAAATTTCAATGAATATTTTAAGTCTTGAAGTGCTTAATTCAATAGAGAGAGTGATTAGGGCAGTTAATTGTCTAATTTCTATTTCTGCAAGAGCAGAGCAAGTGATAAGGGAAGGCAATCACTGTAACAGAATGGATAATAGAACAGGTAAGCAATAATGAAAAATGCAGATTCATAAATAGGAAAGGCCAAATTCTACAGTTGGTTGCATCTCTGAAAGGGCATCGACACTAATAAGCTTCTGAGGATTTATATTGAAGACATTGTTTTCTAGTACCCTGCCAGACTTGACCAGTTTTTGCTAGCAATATCAAAAAATCTCAGAACAGTTGTTTCATGAACTTCTTTTGAAAACACAACATCTATAATTGTATTCTTGTGAAAATTTCGTCTTGCAAAGCTTGGTAATGGTCTATCTGTTCTTAGTTTGAGATTTATATTGCTATTTATGTGGTTGTTTTTAATATCATTGTGGTATTTGCATGAGTCACTTAAAACTAGTCAAAAGTACTTTTTTAACAATTCAAAATTTATAAATTTATTTGGTTTAGAGGTTGTTTCAGGAAAAAAAACCTATGACCACCACTTTGGGAAAATATTTAGTGGTAAGGTAGTATTTAGTCCACTTTGGACTTGATTGTGTTCCTAAATATTCTCTTTTTGTTTCCTGAATCACTTCCAGAAAACTTCTGGAATTTTGTATATAGTACGGTTTGAAACTTTAGCTGGTATCTGTCAACTTTGTGCACCACGAAAGCTGGGCTACATTTGATAAGCCAAGCTTAGTATAGGTGCTTCATAGTTATGAGTACTCTGGAAACCCTTGCCATGTTTTTATAGTGGGATTCAATTTTTTTTGTTTGCAGCTCTGACTATTCATCTATCTAATTTATTGACTAATACTGAAAAGTCCTTACATATAAGCAGAGTAAATACTTGCAAATAAGGTATTCTGATTTATTTTGTTCTGTAGTTGCTCTACAAGCAGAGCTCCCATTGAACTGAAAATGAAGCTCTGATTGTAAATTTTGCTACAGCATAATGAATTCTCTGCTGGTGAATTCTTTACTAGTGTATGCCAAAGTTTGACTAGCTTCATAGTGTGAAATTCTTCTTCTTAGTGTTGGTTTTTCTTTTTTTTTCCCCCAGAGGACTGTATAGTCATTTAGAAAAGTCTGTTTTTAAGCTTACATGATGCTATCCTGTAATATAAATCAAGGTGCATTTTACTTTTTGCTATGAACATTTTTTGTATGGTTTTGATTATATAAAAGTTATTGTAAAAATTGTGTTTATTTCTTCTTTGCTGCATTACTAGAGGACAAAGTCTGGGTGTTGCAGGTGTATGTATATTTACAGAAACATCTTACTTTGTGAGGAAATCCTGAAGCCATTTAAATGTAAGTTTTTTTCATGTGGCCAGTATTTCCCTTGAAAGTACACAGATCAGTTTTCCATTGGGAAAAAAAAGTAGTTTGAATGAAAAAACAATGCCAACAATCCTTTTTCAGCTTCTGTGTTTTAAAATGTATTAGGCTCATGCATTCACTAGATAAAAGCTGGCATTTTGGTAGTAAATTTTTAAAACTTTCAGCAGCCTGAAAATAATAGTTAAATGAATTGCTGAATCATCAGAATTTTCCAAAGTAGTAATGAGAAAACTTCGACCTCAAGGACTGCGAGTGCTGATCTTTCTGTTTAGATTTCTGAGTCTCATAGTAGTTGCTAGAAGAGATCTTTTGTTTCATGTGATCTGTGTAACACTCTTTTACATTTTATCCAAGTCTGATTTTGTTTTTCTGGTTTCATACAATCTTGAGAATCTTAAGAGCTAAGAGCAGCCTATGGAAAACACGAAGAAAAGGGCTGCAGATGTTACAGACCAACTACAGAGCACTAAAAGAGCAATTATAGCAGTGGGAAGAGGGCAATAGCAGGTAAGTTACATAGCTCATTAAAAACATTTTCCTTACAGAAGAAATCTGAACAGAAGTATTTCATAGGTATTCAAAAGAGAATGTGATTTGAAGGAAGAAGCTCCTATGTGGTGATCAAGACTATCCTTTGTTTCAGCAGAATACACAGCTTACCCCATGTGAGAAAAATTGTAGTTGAAACCAAGAGGAAATATATTGAGCTGACTTATTTTATTTAGGCTCTCATTGAGAGCCTGAGTACTGGACAAAGGTCAGCTAGGACTGCTTACTTACATTTGTCTAATTCCTCACTCATTTATTTTGTTGACTATGTTTTTAATTTTCTGTAACACAGCAGTTGCTCATTATTTTTCAAATAGTTTTTAAATATAGTTTTATTCATTAAAATAGAGAAATAATAGCCTCTCTTACATTTAGTGATTCATATATTAACTGAGGCTAAAATCTCCTTCCTTATAGAGAAAAAACTATGTGCATGAAAGCATGGTGTTTTTGTCTGTTAAATTATTTTAAAAAAATGATTTCTGATAATTTCACGAAAAAATGCACTAATATATCTTTATTAATGGAAAGAGGAGAGACTTTACCACATAAAATTTGCATAATGAACATTCTGTATATCATTCTCCCTTAGGCTCTATACGGAACAATGAAAATTTTATGCAGAAATTCTTTTTTTAAGTCCTTAGCAGACAGAATTTTTGGTAAACAGATGCAATTCAAGGTATGAAAACATTTCTTATCCGTTCGGTTATCAAGCACTGTGTTTTTCAGGACCTGTTTCAAGAAAGTAATTTCCTTGTGGCTTTAGCAGGGCTTTAGCATGCACCTAACAGCTCAGTAAACACTTGTGTGTTTTACTAAATTATTTTTGCAGTTAGAACAATACTGACTAATCTTGACACTAACTTTTTAACTCTCTTCAAAGATAAGGAGAGTCACAGAAAGTGCTGCAAAATTAGCAGCTATTCAGAGTCTGGGGTGACATAAAGCATCCTACTGTGAATGATAAACTGTTCCTTATATATGAGTAATGCTGTGGCCTATCTTAGTAGATTTACATTGCTTTGAAATACTACCATTTAGCAGGAGTGGTTTGTCTTTAAAAAAAGAAAAAAAAAGATGTTGTTGGAAACAATGGTGAAGTACAAAATTGCTATGGGCATCGGTGGTATCACGGAAGCATTTTTTAAAATACCTAAGCGCAATGGCAAATATATTTGGGTAAATTATAATGAAAAGGTTTTGTATAGATTTTTTTTCTTCTAGTTCAATGTTTTAAATTTAGTGCAATCTGGAAGTGACTTTTAAGGATGATAGTTACTAAATTCAATGAAATTATTTAATTCTGTTTCTATATCTAAACAGGCTTTCATATCCACTGAGAGTCCAAGGCTAACAGATAAAAGAAAGTGAACTAGATAAAGACATTAAAATCTTAAACTTGATATACAGTGAAGCACTGGGTGTTCTGGTTCTGATAGTTAAAAAAATTAAAAAGAAATGGGAAAGAGAGACAAAGGTTACTTCTGTTTAAAGCAAATGTGACGAGCTTGTGTTATAATGAATGTATTTGGGAAAAGTAGATATTGGGGAGAATATATCAGTCTTCACTTAGTCATCCATTTTTTTCATCTCTGTTTAAGATGAGCTGAAAATAACAGGGTTTCAATAGTCTTTGTTATCAGATTAGATTTGTATGAAGCCACACTGAAGGACTTCTGGTTTTCATTTTTAATATGCTTAAACGAAGGAAAGTAGACTGACACAAATAAAAGCAGTCTGTAACAATAAGACTCTGTTATTTTGGTGTCTCAAAAAGCTGTATAGTGCTGCTGTAATGTAAATTGTGCATTAAGAGCTCAGTATCAGGTGCTTATGAGGCATTTCTGATCCTTTGTAAGTGATGGAGGACCCCATTCTCCATATTCTTCATAGATTAGTATCTGTTATTGAGATGGCAGCTGATGGGACCCAATCCACCTGTCAGTGTACATACAACTTGCACTGATGTACGTGACTGCAAAGATGATGGGGGCCTTAAGAGGTTACCACATTGTCTGAGAGTTTATTTCTATGCCCAGTAGGAATTTGGATTTCAGAGTTTTTAATTGATTTCATAAAGGATTTTTTAATACAATTTTTATCTTTGGCATTATTAAAATACGAAAAAATATTTTAATGTCAGAAAAATTTAATTTTAATTAATTTTAATTTTATTTTTCTGTGCTTCTAAAGTCAATATGCTTTTTCTTAATACATAATCTCATCCATAGATAGTTAATTCCTTTATCAAACTGTAGAACAACAGTGTGATTTAGAGTGGGCATTAGTTGCAACTTCCAGATTGGCTTGCTGGGATATTAGGGGAGCTGATGACTCTCCCTTAATTTTCAAGAGATTATGTGATGATTTTAACTTCTTCTTTCTCATAGCAGTATTTAAAGTATTATTGTCAGAATGTGGGTGACACTATTCTGCGGCATCACCTGGGAGGCATGGTGTCATACTGGCACAATATCTGTCTGAAACTATGTAATTGAACTTCTCTTTATTACCACAGTTAAGATTTCATGCCTCAGAACATATACTTCATACAAAATTCACATTCAATGGATGCTGTACTTGAAAATTTGTATTTTCTGAAAGCAGGGATGCTTTTTTTTCTGGTTCTCCTAAAACATTTATATATTTGAAAACAAGCAACCTTTTTTTAACTCATAAACAGCCTTGAAATCAGTAAATGCAGATACCAGCATACAGGCTTCTGTCAGCTTTGTCAAGAAGATCCTGATGTGATGTGGAATGAGCTGGCTTTTTTCAAAAGGGGGCACAAAAAGCTGCTGATTGAGAAGTGAGTTTGTTTCTTAAATGGTGTTTAAGTAAAGAAACATACTGGTTTTATTCTGAAGTGCTTTACAGGCCATACAAGAGGAATTCCTTGCAAAATTCCATTATAAAAACACCTACCAAAAGCAGGAAAGGAAAACATCAGCTCTTTTTTTTTTTTCCTTCCTTCTCTCTCCCCCTTAAATCAGTGACAAGTTACAAGTTTGCTAGCACTAACAGAAACTGTATTCCATGATCTAGGGATTGTGTTAATTAATGTGGCTCTCATCTGTTGGAGGTGTCGCTCTTCATTAGCCTGTATTTTACACACTGCCGTGCTTCATTTTTGGAATGAGGTGGTGAGGGGATAACCTAGCCAGCCATCCTTGTTTGATCTCTGTGATACATACGCAATGCAGAATGCCTCAGCTCTCTTGGTTCCCTGCCCTGTCCTGCTAATCCCAGCTGAGCTCATTATGGTGTAGCCTTGCTGCTACTCCTGGAGCCAGAGCTGTCCAAGCTAATTACTGGTAGCAGCAGAGCTGCCTGTTAAGGGTCTGGTGTGGATCTGCTAACATGGTCCTTGGTAGTGACCTGCAAAAAGCACGAGGGAGTTGCTCTCTTTCTTGCTGTGCATAGCCTGTCCTTTGGGTTTAGTGCTGATCCCTTCACACAGCTCTTTCAGCTGTAGTAAGTGTAAAACTTGGTGAAGGAAACTCTTACTTTAGAAAACATACAGTTTGCTGCTTTGATCTCATAATTCATAGGCTATTACACTCAGCCAGGCAAAGTAAAAAAATGTCCTTTTATACTAGACAAAAGGAAGTTAGTATGGTATAATTAGCCCTTTGCTGTGATTTAACACTTTCTGTAAGTGACTATGATTTTTTGTTTTAATTTAAGAATCAAGACATCATAGAAAGTTTTATTCAGACTTTGTTTTTGTCAGGATTAAAAAAAATGTGTTTTCCCAATGGATCACAATGTAAGCCCATTTTGTGGCAATACCATGAAGGCTGCTATTACAGAATTTCAAAAGCATCGAATTGTTTTGTTCTATGTAAGTCCTTGTGTTGACCATAATCTCCATTGGTATATTATAGGCAATGTTGCCAGTAGCTGTATTATATGGGGTATTCTTATATCTGCCACTTAAAATTGTGTGCCTGTTCTTGTCACTTCATTGTCACCTCTTTTTGCTGTTTTGAAGATATAACAACAAATTATCACATGCAATTATTTTGTGGGTTTTCATTTTTTATTTTTATGTAGGAAAGAACACTTTCTTGCCAGGTATGTAATTGCATACATGTAATTCCCCTTCCATCACTAGTGAACACATTTACCACAGACAATAGTAACTCAAGAGCAATTACATAAGCCTCTTTTTTCATTCAAAGCCATGCAAGAGAGATTGCTTCTATATTGTGCACATGCTGAAAGTTGGTACAGTTGGACTGCTTTTCTAGAGTTCCTGTGCAGTCACATTTATGGGAACACCCTTATTTCTCGTATGTTGCAGATCGTTGACCTTGACTAGACTGTGGTGAGGTGTCATGAGCAAACACTTGTGCTCTTTAAGATACAGGATTTGTAAGACAAACCGGGTTCATAGAAGTCCAAGGATTTAGTAAGAAGCCAGTGCAACATTGTGTTCATTAAGGTGAACTCCTTGTGTGGATTTAGGTGCTGTCTGTTCCTTAGGGCAGTGTCACTTCCTGTTGAAATAAGAAAGAGATTAATGCGTAATTGCAGGGTTTATATCTGTCTTTCTCTAATAATGACAGTCTTTAATTTGTTGAAGGAAGTCACCATTTCAGGATTTTATCTCATTTTCTTAAGAAAGTCAATACCAAATTTATTGTACTTTTTAGATACGTGGCTAGAGCTTCTTCATATTGCTTCTATTGTTTTTTAAGTTCTATGGATAAAGGACATGATTTGTGGAGTTGGACCAGTTACTTATATGTGTAATGTTACAGGCAGTGTAAGAAAATCAGGTTAGCTCGTAGCTTGTGTGGATGCACTTAATTGGATAGTACATACTGATTATCTTAAGTTGATGTAGAACATACATAAACCAAAACCAATGCACCATTTCTTAAAGAAGAGTGTCTGTGTAGGGATTTTATTTTGGTATAAGTTTTAACTTTGAATAGGTAAAGTTTCTCTTTCTGACTAAACCAAAGAGTGAATGTCTTGAAAATAGGATTATTTCTTATTGCTTGTTTATGTATTTATTTGTAATAAAGACTTTCTCTCCCATCTTCTGAGGGATAGAGCAGTGATGTAAAATGTCTTTAATATGCACATAAATTTGTCATAGTTTTAGCCCTCCCCTGGACCCACTCCAGGGGCTTCATGACTCCCTTCCAGAGGAACTCAGAACTGGAAACAGCAATACAGATGTGGCCTCACCAAGGCTGAGCAGAGAGACAGGAGCACCTTTCTCAACCTGCTGGTAATGCTCTTCCTAATGCACCACCAGGACACACTGTTGGCTCATGGGCAGCTTGTTGACCTGAAGGACTCACAGGTCCCACTCCACAGAACTGCTTCACTGCACATCCAATTGTTTTGTTTCCTGATTGCAAGCTGGCTAATTTAAATTATTTTGGCTTTTCCGTGTCAAAAGCTAGTTAGCTGGAGCATAGGAATATCCTGTCCCTTTGGCCTTTAGATACAGACTTTGGAAACGTATAGATGACTGAATATAAACTGTTATGGAATATAAACTGTAGTGGAATCTTCACAATTTTACATATTTCATTCTTTTTTTGAAGAGAATTTATTTTTTTTCTAGTAAGCTTCCACTTACATTTTCATCAGGCACTCTGTCAACTGTTTTCCAGTGAGAGGGTTCTGTCAAGGATAATGAGGTTCATGTTTTTTAATTGTTAAGCTTGTCTCTAGAACATTTCTTACCTGTGTCCACCAGATCTTGTAATTTCCTGCATCCTAGCTAACAGACAAATTTGAGGACTTAATGTTTTTTATATCAGATGTTTGTGTTTTTCCTTTGTTCCTTCATATTTAATCAGACATGTCTTGTACTTTGCTGCCTGCTCATATATGATGGAATTGTGTCATATTAAAAACATGAGTCATGCTGCTAAACATTTTTTTCATAATACAGAAGCAGATAAATGCAAAATTAAAATTGCATTAATGATAAAATTTGGGTGTTGTCGGGGCAAAAATAGCAGCGAGATGGTGGAGAAAGTTAAGGAGTCTGTGTTAGCGTCCTTTTGTATTGTTCCTTGCACAGAGCTATTGCTTGCCTTGCTGTTGGATCAGAATGATTTCTGTAGATTATTTGGTTTAAAAATGAATAGCTGTATGTGTGGTAAGCACGCTGCCTGCAGAAGAACTGTCTTTTTCTTATTCCTCTGTTTGGCCTAGACAAAAGGTCTTCAGCATTCAAATGGAAATGTCTGATTTATTAGTCTTACAGATATGCATGCACGTATGAAAACAAAGTACTAAGTGTGTGTCATATTAAACTATACAGAATGTTCATAGATGAAGCCTGTGAACCTACAGTCAGTAATACCAAAGCACACTGATTGCTGCTAACATGTCAGATTGCTATTTTAAGAGAATAAGGAGCGAGTAATGAAAATAAGTTTCTCTATAGTACGTTCTGTGAAGTTCTAGGATTTCTGGTAAAGATAGCAGTGCTTGGTACATTCTGGCAAAAATAATTTAACATACACTGCTAATTTTCCATGACTTTGCATAGTTCTGATTTTGGAAGGGACATTATAAATTTTTATTATTCCATGTATCTCAGCTTTGATAATACCATATGGAACTTCAACAACTGAATTTTGAAAAAATGTAGAAACACTTGTTTCAGAGAATGCAAATAACACTTTACAATGAACGTTATTAAACATTGTTTATGTATTCTTGCTTTATCTCTTCAACTCTTTCCTAAAGTGTACTGTTTTGTAATTCTAGAAAGTCAATTGTGGTACTTAGCAGACCTTTATTGTGACCCAGCATGACTTTTGTGTTAAACTACTTAGTTTTCTTTTGTTGTATGAGGCAGAATATGAAAATACGTGCAAAAGTTTTACCTATCCTAATGTATTGGAATAGTTTTATAATTTCTAAGGAATTCAGAATGCATTTTCTAAGAATTATTGTTGTATTTGCTTTTTTACAAACACAGTAATGCGCATTAAACATGTAATCATCAAAATTTTCTGTAATCTCAAATACTTCAGTAGGAGAAATAAAATAAGTAATTTGTTTTTATCCTTACATTGCATTGGAAATCAGCTCCATACTAACAGCAGTGTGTAGGCAAGAGACTTTAGTGTATTGTCATATGAAGTTTATAAAGGTTATAAGGACTGATACAAGAACAAAGTTCTCTTGGTATTCCTATGATGGGTGATGTACCCTCTTTTCTGAGTTATAATGATGGCAATAGTACTCCAGTCTTGGCTCTTGAGGTTGTATCTGTTTCAATCTAATGACAGGTACAAACAGTGTTTATGAGGCTGTTCTGATGGTCTTATTTTAAAAGAATGGAAACCTTCAAATTCATATAATAAACAAAATTCACACAGTGTAATATTTATATTTTGGTTAAACACTTATATAAATAAACAAGATGGATTTTGTGCTTCAGTGAAAGAAATTAAAGATAGATAAAATTTTAGGCATGGGTTTCTACCATCCTTTTGCAAACTAAAGTTTATGCTGCATGTTGAAACTATCTTAGTCACTAGTGCTTCTTTGAGTGTGGAGTGATCATTGACTTGAAATATATCTCAAAAAGCAATCTTGACAACTATGACACTATTCACTATTTTGTTACGTGAACAGACATTGGACTGTTGAGGGGGGAGTTGCTTTTATCCTTCTTTTTTGCTCCTGAATGTGGGTTGTAAATCTGGGAGACTTTCCTTAGCAACAACAGATACCTCTTCCTGCAGTTTTCATCCATCCTAAGAGCAACTGAATTGGGAAACAAGAATGATAAAGACATATTTCTGGGAAGTGGATGCACAA